TCAGGTGATGCCTGAAGGACATTATCAACCTGGATGGTCTTTGATTCCACCTAAGGAGATTGATGATCGTGATCCTTGGAGTATCTTAGGCTATATTGCTCCAACGTTGATTGTCAATGGAGATGGTGCTACCTCGAGATCTTTGTTTATGGTACACCCATTAGTTCTGAGCAAGGATCAGCAGAATCTGGTGAAGGCTGATGAGGAAGTGATTCGTTTTGACCACCTATGGAGAGACATCACTTCAAGGAGATCAACAGCAAGGACTTCTGGAGAACCTCAACAGGATGAAGAAGATGACTCTGCTCATGTTGCTGAGCGTGAGATGACATGGTTCATTCAGAATGTCAACAACCTGGTTCTCAACCCATGGATGGTATATGACATTGGCATGGTATCACTCCATGATCGCCGAGGAACACGTGTACTCCAGAGCACTGGAGAAGACGTGATTCTGGTAAGGGATTGGGACAGGTTGACAAGACACCAGAGAGAATATTTTTGTAGAAGGTACAAATTGCTACGTCCAAATATTTATGGAACAGAGGACGACCTCAAGACGTATGCACCGAGTTTTGAACCTGGAATTTGTCAGTGGATGGAGTTGGCACAAACTGGATATCAACAGTTTTTCTTCATCCGTGCTTGGGAGAATGGACGCCGCTGGGCTGAAATTCTGACAGACCATGGTATTCAATCTATAGAACTTTCAAGTTTCTTGGATATGTGCAGAGATCCCAAATTGCTGGGTTGGAACTTTGGTATTCCAGAACCTCAGTGGGATAGTTTTGGCAACACAGTGGAGGAAGCATTCAACACTCCTTTATTTGCCAAATTGCACTATCGCTACAAGCAGGAGGAAGAGATTGGTCGTGTCATGCACCTTTTGTCTGAACTTGTTTGTGACTTTTTCATCAAGGTGCTTCCCAAGTGGGTTCTTGACCATTCGATCTTGTGGGAAGAGTTTATGATTTTGGATCCAGTCACAAATCTCCCTGTTTACAAGACTTCAGAGGATGCCTTATATGCAGAACAGGATCCAGAGAAGTATCATAAGCATTTTGCTATGAACTTCAAGAAATTCCGTTTTTCTGCAAGAGTTGTGTGGTATTTGATTGACCGTGACAGGAGTCATTTAGAGAGTTTTCTTCACAACTCCAACAGCAGATTTGTGCAACATGCATGTTTTCAACTTCGTGAATATGTTCAGGCGCGTGTTGCAGTTTCTGATCCCTTGTATGAGATGATCAAGAAGGAAGAGTTTGAACGCCAATACAATTCCAAGTTTTTGGAGGCGATTTCTTGCTCTCGTGTTGTAGTTGAGCCTGTAAGTTCAGGGACGTATGAGCCATCATCGAAGCTGAACTTAAAGGTACTACAGAACATTCTGAAGGGTGTCTACAAGATCCAGAAGAATGAGGAGCGTGCAAGAGAACGTGATGAAGAAGAAGAACAGGCAGCTCAAAACATCTCAAACTTGCTGGCAGATGATATGGAGCTTGATTTTGATGATGACAACGTGCCAGTATGGAGCTCCATTGTCAACAAGTATAGAAAAGGTGATCAGGCATTGCGGGGAGAAGCAGTGAAGATTACTCATCTTTACAAGGATAAAAAGGACAATGAGAAGGCAACTGAGTTTTTCAGTTCAGATAGGACAGATTTTTATGAGACCTCAAATTCTCTTCCAAGAACCAAGGAGGAAGATTTTATAGAAGACTTGCTCACCAAGGATGTTGCAAAACAAGCTTTTGAGGCAGGTGAAGAAGTTCCTCCATACACAAGAGTCTCCACTATTGCTGGTGGAGTCTATACGGGAAGTATGGTACTTGTAGTAGATGAAGATATGGAAGAGGAAGTCCTTGAAGAAGATCCTGCAGTTGAACCTGAGAAAGATGAAGAAATGTTTGATGAGAATGCAGGTGCTTTTCCTTCAGAAGGACTAAAGATGGAAGTGGACCAGGAGGAAGCCAAGGATGAGTCAGCACCACACTTTCTGTCAAGAGAGATAGGTGAGGGCTCAGCTGCATCGTACTTACCATCAGGTGAGATGGATGCTAACCTTGATGATACTCCATGTCTGCCGAAATCTAAGAGAAGCCGCCTGAATAAAATTCCTGATCCTCATTTTCATGAAGAAGTTCAGGATGATGCAACTATGGAGGAGAAGAAGAAGGCGGTGGAGAAGATAAAAGAGGTCAGAGAGGATGATGGAGAGAAGAAATTGGAGGCTGACATCCAAGAATCTTTTCCATCTGAAGTAGTTGCTGATAAAGATCCAGCGGATGCTGACAATACCTATGAGTTGCATACCTCACCTTTGAGGTTGCTTGGAGAGATTACAAAAGATCCAGGTATTGGCTTTTATCAACTATGCTTCAGGGAAACTCACGCGAGATTGTTGAACCATGTTTGTTTCAGAAAAGGTGAGCTTTCCCATCCTCACTATCAGGCAAGGATCAACGAGGATGACTTTGTTCGATCCATTCGAAAAGTCTGTCTAGTACCTCCACCTGATTGTTATGAGGACA